TTTGATGAAAAATCAATTAAAAAAATGCTAAAAATTCAACCCAAAGGAAGTTAACGTTGACAATTTGTCTGGTAAAAAAAAACTATTGTCTTTGACCCAGCAATTAAAAGATTTCAACACTCTAAAATCAGATTTTAACTTAAATATTTTCGGTACTTGATCAATCTTAACGTCTGTACACTTAGATAAATAAATCTCGATTAAGTTACTCTGCATATTTACGGAAGGTTTTTTTTTACAGTAGTTCCGTTGTCAGAAAAAAATCTCCATCCTGTGTCTTAGCAACCAGAAAAAATAAAGACCGTTGAACAAACATCCATTTCAATAAGTATTTAATTATCTATGACTTCACGTTGTTTACGCATAATAGGAACAAATTATTACACGTTTTTTAATGTTACTATTATGATGGTGTGGCATGTATTTTCCTAGGTATTCCGGTATAAACTTTGTGTCACGTTTAATAGTTAAGAGTTACTGTGTTCCCCGGAAGTGGCTGGTGGATGCGCGTTGCATGAATTATCTTTTTGCATTATATCATGTTATCGAACTGGTTCATCTGACCTCATGCATGCGTACATTCCATTTTTTTGTGTGGAACTTAACCTCCTCTTCCGACACTCGCATTCTCGTTTTTCTTACTGTTTAAACGAAGTCATATGGACTACATCATTTTGCATCGCAGGACCCAGCTACGTGGAACGAATTGCAGATAGATCTTAGATATAAGACACCGAGATCTCTTTTGAGAATGCTTTTAAACTCACCTATTTGTACTACCAGAAGAAGCTTAAAGACTTAATAATGTTTACTTCCCTAATCATTGTCAGCATGTTTTGTTTTGTAACTTCATAATGTTTGTTCTTGTAATCTTGTTGATGTATTTGCTTTAATGAGTTATCTAATATTTTAAAGTGCTTAGAGCTTCTAAAGATAATGATTGTACTAAGTCTACGTTATTCCTAAAGTCCATGTGTTTTTATTGCCCATAAAATTATTTTGTGGTTTTGCCGTCTATAAACTGAAGTAGAAACCATGGGAACAGGCTACGTTTTGCATACCTTCCTTGATATTTTATATTGCTGAATTGTAAATCGATTATTGAATATCGAAATGCCCTTTACACTCATCGAGGGAAAGTCAGTTGTGAGATTTGTTTATATTTTATTGGCTTCTATATCGATAATTTCTCTTTCCAGCGATGTAGTCAGGAAATAAAAAATATTTCATTTTTTGTACTAATTACTAACTATTGCACAATTATTTTTGAAGTATTTGTATACTGTAAAAAAAATTGTGTTGAAGTTCGTAGTTTGGAATACCACTCACTGTCATGTCTGAAGCTTTTGATATCGTTAAGCTAAATCGTAAATCCCATGGAAAAACACAATGATACATTGGGCAAAGATATATTATTATGTGAAAGTCAAATGATATCAGTGTTCTAAATTTATCATCCACTACACCTTGCTCAGTCTTTTTTTTTTTACAGCTAAATCAAGTATCCATACATGTTTCATGTCAGGAAAACTTTATTGTCATTCAAAATTAAAAGTTACCACTTATATAAGTTATTGTGATGATGTCCGCAAGGATTCAACCCAAATGTTTCTCTGTGTATTGTTAGCATCCACATTGCTTTCATATGACACGACATAAGACATCTGGTAAAATCAATATATTTGGCTTTCAAATGGCTATCTATAGAGTTTGCTGCTTGGTAAAAATAAAATAGAATGATATGTTGGATTATGTTTTCATTTCCTGATTTTCAGGAGTTATGTATTTAAAATACTTTGCCATTATTGTGCTTTAAAACACGTTCACCGAAGTTGGACATTTTACAAAAACTTATAAGCAACAAACACAATATCACGAATCACACGTGCAATAAATATGCATTCGAAATTTAGCTGCTCAAAAGAAAAAAATCAATAACCATCATTCAGCTTTGGCTGTAATGGTTGTTCAGGTTTTGCCTTATCTTATCTGCGAATGGATTTGTGAAGATAATTAAGTGCATTATTATGAGTAGATACATAATAAGCAAAATAAACTTTAGGTTATTTTATACCATGTCACCTTACTTTGTTCTCTCTTTTTCATTTATATTCCTCAGTTTTCAATCAATTTCGCATTTTTTCATTTCTCTGAAACTCATATCATGTCTTTTCATTTCTTTTTATAGGTCCGTTAGGGTCAAAAAATGGCGCATGCTTCTTCAAAATGCGGGTTGTTTTTTATTATTTATTCCTCGGTTTGAACCTACACATATCACTGATGCTGGTTTAGTATGTGTCGGGTGATAAATAAAACAAGAGGGAGATTAAAAACATTTATTTGTGCTGAAAAATTTGTCTTAGTTTAGATTCTTCTGCTTACTTTTGTTTTAAATCCTTATTGCTTAACTCCTTTCAGGGTATTAATCCATATGCTAACAATTGCTTTCGTTTAGTGGATGTGTGTATGGTTTTCATCTACACTGTAAATATTAGGCGCGTGTTCTTTCAAAACCTATCGCGCTGGAAATATGTCAGACAATCTAATGTAAAGAAAAATTAAGACCGAAAATTTTGCAAGCTAAATATTCAAGTGGATACAATTTTTGTGTTGCTAATAATTTTTATTTTAAAGACATAATTATGATAACTGTTTCTGTATTCCGCTTAATTCTCCAAAGTTTATTGAACAATTAATTATGTAGTTTAAGTATTTGTAAGGTTAGAAAATTAACCAGCTTTAAAACATGTGTATTCAGAAATACAATTATGTTTCACGGATTCTAATTTTAGATGTTACAAATATTGCAGTTGCATGGTTTACACGTGGGTCTAGTATTCTGGGGAAAAAGTCTTGCATTCGAAAATTGATTTTCCAGGCTTTGAAAGGTCTGGAAAATGTTTTAAAAATGACCAAAAGTCTGAAAAAGTCTAGTTGTTCCGTTTCACGTGATGTAATTGACACTGTTTCCATTCACTAAGTTTAATTGTCACATTGGGTCCTGGACAAGACATTCTGGCTTAGTTCGAACCTTGCATAGAGGAAGCTTTACAGAAGCCAGTTTAAAATACAGGCAATAGACAATCCTGAAGGTCGAATCCTAGTGCGGTTCATATAGAAGATTTAGTTCGGCAAATAGGCCTGTTGACCGATGATAGGGATGGCAATTTATTTTAAAGCTATGAATTACATCAAATTCGTGAAGCAAGAAAATTGTTAAAAATGAGAATTTTAGCTTAAGCAAATTTACTGAAATCTAGCTTTAATCTGATTGGGTCACGCATGCGATCAGAACCGGAACTGCAGTCATGTTTAAAGCTCGAAAATATATTACACTGTAAATGCATGTCAACTTCTGACCAAATGCGGCACACCATATAATAAATTCATAACTTTTCAAACACTACATATGTAATTTTAATGGATCTAATCACCACCATAAGAGGAGCAGCAGAGAGGGTGAACCCTACAAAATTTTGCTCGAATCTTTAACGAAAAAATAAAGGTTCCTGCAGAGGCTGAAAATAATACGTCAATAACGCTAAACCAAAGTCTCTAACTTTTCTATTTCCTCACGGTTAGGTTAGCTCAATTTGTTATATTATTGTTGACGTATTTTTTATGATTTTGTAAGGCGATTTTGTTTACTCGTAAAACGATCCAATTGTTGTCCTTCACCCTCTCTGCTGCTATGAATTAAACAGCCAATTATAAAAAGTGTCAATAATGAGTATTGGAGAACCACACTCAGCTAAATTAGCTCGAGAGCGATTAGAGGCAATTAAAAATATATACCTGTTCGTGATTCTGTTAAGGAGCAACTTCAATTGCGTCAGAGGGATTTAACTGAGTTTGAGGAGGAAACAAAACAAAACAATTATTTAAACCGATTGTAGAACCAACAAAAAAATTGTTACAGCAACCGAAGCTGTTTCGTTTGGATTTATAACGATAAATATACATGATCCAAGATCAAGATATCGTGTAGGTCTAGATAAAATCTTTGGTTAAACTTCCCTTGACTATCAATAGCAGCAGAGAGGGTAAAAGACAACAATTGAATCGTTTTACGAATAAACAAAATCGCCTTGTAAAGTCCAGACTCGGATAACGTGGGTAAGTGAGAAAGCCTGCCAGTAGCTTCTCGTGGGTCGGTGGTTCTTCCCGGGGGTTTCCAGGGTTCTTCCTCCACCATAATTACTGGCCGCCATGTATAGCCTATCTTGTACTGAAAAATGGCGTTAAACTCTATAACAACAACAATAAGACTAAAGCATCGTATCGGATATGCATGTCAATAAACTTGTCACATTATTAGGTCTGGAAATACTTTTAGGTATGGATATGGTTTTAAATCTTTTTCTAATTTTGTGGCAGGAATCCTGCAGTTGTCAAGTAGCCAGATAGGTTTTTCCAGATAGACCAGTTTATTCCATGTTTGCGTCCATGTCATGTCTATAGATATGCAATGAGCGTCATTGTATCCTTAAATTAGCTTTGGTAAATTGTGATTATTTTCTGGAGGATTTCACGTTTTGTTTTAGTGAAACACTTCCTAGTTATAGGTTAAACATTTTTCGTAAAACTGTTCACTTTAGATAATTTGTTTGAGTGAGCTGAAAATTATTCGATGCTTTCCTTTTCCATCAAACCTCCAACTTTACTGTTCTAAAGCTATTTCCCTTCATCAGACTGTCTCTTTTCGTGTTCTCTCTCTTTTATTTAACCGGAGCAGTGATCATTTTTCAGTAAATAGACTACGTACTTAACAGCTCCTTCATTTCAATGCATTTATTGTCTTTCCATATTATTTTACGCAATGTCACAAATTGACTAAGTTTTAGAATCATGGTAAAACTGTTTAATTTACTGTCCTGAGTGTAAGTAATTAAAACGATATAAAAACTTTGGAAAACCTTTCTTCAGTAAATGGACATTAAATACGTTTTATATGGGAGATAGTTCTATTACTAGTGCCACTACTACTACTACCACTCTACTACCTCTCCGGTGGCCTAGTGTTAGAGTGTCCGCCTCTGATGCTGGAGGATGCGGGTTCGAAACCCGGCAGAGTTATAACAAAAACTTCTAAAAATAGTGCTAACAGCTGCCTTACTGTACGCTCAGCATTAAGAGGCTAATGTTAGGACTGATCGAACTGGTCTCAGGTTAATGTGACTGGGTGGGACTTCAGGCTACATCTTTGTGACCTGATTCCCAAATGTCAGACATCACTGAACTGCCACACTGCAGACTAAGCTACTTTAACAATCCAAAACACACATCTTTACTTAAGGAGGATAGCACATATTATCATAAAGACAACAATTGCAACAGCAATAATAATAATAAAATTAATAATTCTTATAATATTTTAAGGGATATAGCACATTTAGTCATACGAGACAGTTTTGCCATATGATAACCAACTTATTTACAGGTTATATTAATGATATAACCTCATTAGTCAAAAAGTGCGCAAATATACATATACAATACGCAAGTACGCACATGTCAGCATTTTTACAGACATATGTAGACTAAAATACTAACGCGCATATGATTTGCATATGATTTTCAATTTACAATCATACATGCAAATAACGTTAGTGTTAGAAAGCCAAAAGATAACTGGATATCTTGTAGTTTTGTCTGGCTATCGCTCCTCCTTCATGATTCGGATTTTCTATCGCTGATAACTCGACGTGATCAAGCAATCATGATCGCGATACTGTGATAATAATATACATGTATATTTATTGATCGTTCGTGCTTGTATATCTGATGTGCCGAAATTGTATGCGGGTGTAAATATGCGTGGTACGAAACATGGTGGTTTGAAAAAACTTTCAAATTGGTTCTCGCTTTCAATACCTTTGACTTCTTTGAATATTTCACCTTTTGGATCTTATTGCAGAGTTTACCATCGTTATAATAGTGTTTACTGATTTGATTATGTATGGAGTTACTAATGGTTTAAGTGTTAAATGGTTGTCATTTGTTATTAGTTTGTGCTCCGCGCGCTGATGTTTGTGTTAGATTTAATCAATCGGTATATGCCTTTTTTATGTGGTGTATGACTATTGTTTTGGGATATTCTATAGTGGATTTTATTCGATGGATAGTAATTATGTGATCAAAAAGACTGGTAATAAACCAACACAGGCCTCCACATCTTTGTAAAAAAAATTTCAACTGGAGCACCATTTGTTCTATTTGTGACCATGACAACACCCTGGAAAAGTGATTCAAAATTAATTATTTATTACATAACTTATGGTTTTTGATTGCTTCTTAGAAGAGTCGTACATATTGTGTATGGTCCGAATTATTTGGAGCACAAATATATTTTTGTATTGATGTTTTCTATTAGATCACAGAGCAATTATTTTCAATAATTTGCCAATTATTCAATTTATGTAGTCAAAAGAGGGTACGTCCTATAATACTCTAACTCCTAAGATATAGACCGGTATATTTTTATATTTTTTATTTTATGATATTGTGGCTTTATGTCACTTTGGAAAATCCGAAATGAATTATGTGCCAAACAGCTTTATGACTCAATGCAATCAGTTATAAATAAGAACATATAGTTAATGAATACAGTTGTTTAAAATGTAAGAACTAAATTAGATAAATTTCGGTTGGCACTTTTAAAAAAAAGTGCTTGAAAATTATTGTATTTCTCTCTTTATCCCTGTCTCTTTTGGTGCGACAATTGGAACGACAATAATTAGTTAATCCTCTCTGTCATTCTGACAAAGAAAATGTAATATTCAGTTATATTATGACAAAAAATTATGAGAACTGCATCAGGAGGTCACATTCGCATATTTGATATGAGTTAAAAATAAAAGTAAAACAATTTCACTCGCTGTGAAATAAATATACAGTAAATTATGTCAATAAAAAGTGAAAATATTCTGTGCCATCATTTAGTAGTTGACATAATACATTTAATTGAATTCAATGTACAGTTTAAATTAAATTTCTGACACATTTGTGAATGTAAAAAATTATGAGTTGGGTGGACTTTATTTAATGAGCATTGTTTCGTATCGGCTCATTCAAAGTAACAAAGAAAGAGTGAAGACAACAAGCTTTTGTAAATTTTAACAATTTATTTTCCTAGAAAACATGGAATAAATGTAATTATGTAAAACAAGACTTACGATTTACGGAAATGATCAAAATTGTTTGTTCTAAAGATAAACACAAGTCCTGTAGAAAAATCTAAACACAGTTTGAAGTTCAGTTACAGTCCAAAATGGCGGATGATGACATCAGACGAAGGCTAACAAAAAGATCCAGAATTTACACAGTAAAGCACAGTTTGTATTGTTCTGTTCCAATTTAGAATATTTTCGGAAAATGTCTTTGTCCAAACCAGTAATGTTGTTCTCCAAGAAAGCAATTATTCAGAAAAATGAAGTAAAAATAGCTCCACTAGCAAAATGCATATTTTACATAGACATACGAATATACAACTTCTTCTAGCACAAAAATACCTTTTTAAGGTAATAGAAGTTGTGTAACTCTAAGATGTTACAATAAACTCCGACTTTGACAGGTAATGACTAAACGTCTTACAAAATACCTCAGCATATAAACGAATGTAATACGTCATTTGAATTACACGCGCACGGAGGACGCATGCAATTTCGCAATATTTCTGGACATTAGGAAAGTCTGACCAAGTACTAGTCAATCGTTTTCATAGCTATTCCTGAATGTTTACTTATAATGAATTTGCCATCATGCACAGCACGTGCTCACATGAGTCACATTTACGACTCAGGTAAACACGATGTTTTAGCAACATATTTGACTGATATTAATATAATCATATCAATAATTGCATTCAATGAAATAAAATGAAATAAAAAGATTTATACCGAATTATTTCCTTAACACACACACACACACACACACACACACACACACACACTTAAACTGCAGGGTCGTAACAGCTTCAAAAACTTAACTTTAAATCATTATCCATTTGACATAATATTCATGGCATAATTTTTATTTTAATGGGATAGTTGAGAAAGAAAGAAGAAACAATAATATATTTATACAGCTTTCATTCTGATTTCACATCGCGCGAGACTGTCCGATTTTAAAATTGCTTTACACCTTTAGGCTGACTTCGTCCAATAATGTCCACATACTTGCATTATGTATTTCATGGGACGTGCATATAAAGATCTTACATGGAAAATGAATGCCGAAGGATCGATATAATGCAAATAGTGGCCAGTTAAAAGTATCTGTAATCAAATTCTAAAACAATGCACCTATTGCTGAAATAGTCGGTACCAAACATCTTCATGAGCTCTATCATTTCGTACTTTAATTGAGAACACATGATACATAAGTATTGAATAGTTAGATCCGATAATGAGAGCATGAGATCATCTAATTGAATATATCAGTTGATATTTAAAGATATGTGGTTTTCAAAAATTGGAACACCAAACATTAGGAAATGTTGACAACAATGAAGCATGCACTATACTTATGAAGGCGATACAAACAAGACAGGAACTCCTTGTATCATCATGTAAATTTAGACTCACTGTAAGAGTGTTAAAAATTATGTCAATTGAATGCAGCAACGAGTCAAAAATATGACTTTCAGACCTTTTAAATTGCCCACAGTGAATCAATTTTTTGATTAAGAAAGCAATACGGTCAAGAAAGGCACTCCTAGAGCACAAGCGTAACAGTATCAGTTAGATGTTGCTATTGATTAGACACTATGGGACTTTCCAGGCTGACAAGGGGGTGGGGTACAACTGGGGAATATCCCCAGGACCAGGACCGAACAACACTTTTGAATTTTATAAAAGAAAAAGGTTGTTTGAACAAAAACTAGGAAAGGCCTGAGTGTTTCTTACCCCAGGTCCTGTGATCGCTCTCTATGTCCTGGGGCTTTAAAAGACTTCAACACAATACTTCAACATCGTTCAACATTCTACTTAATGCTTGGCTAATTAATCTTTTTTTGTGGAAAAGTGACAAATGATGACATTATATAAAAAAACAGGAAAAATTATCTATAGTGAAAATCAATCATTAACTGATTTTAAAAAAATGATTGAAAACTCAGATGCCTTTGAAAAGTAAATGAAAGAGCTTTATTGCTTCTATTTCGTAAGACCGTAGAAACACAGCTTGTCAGTAGTCTCATCATTGAAAGAAGTTAGGGATATCCATGCATGATTATCGCTAGCAAAATGTAATGGGTTGTGTACATTTTCGGACGACGGATATATCGTTAAGAAGACGTGTACCTTTTTGACCCTGTACCAGCCTATAGGCCATGAATAAATACAGAGACTTGCACCTGACCCTGATTCAGCCTTTCGACCAAGAAGATACATAGGTTTGCACCTCTGTGACCCTGATTCAGCCTTTAGGCCAGGTACAGATACAAATGGCCAGCGATTATAAAAAGTCTCTTTATAAATATGACGTTGTACAAAAATAAGCTCATAAGAAAGTCCCTTTTAAATTTTACCCAGCATTTGTCATCTAATAGTGACTTCAGTCTTGGAGGACATTTAGACCGTGGCAGCTTTTAGGACTTTGGCACATCTCCGGACTTTGGGATGGACTAGAGCTTGAGTCAATAAAACAGACAAATGTATATCCCAAAATAATGTTTCAAAGAGGTAAACATGCGTTACATCGAGAATTGGGGCTCTTTCTCTTTGCTTGAATAGTCAAGTCATGTTGTTTAAATCCATTTAGTTTGTTTTAGTTTTAAGAAACCATGTATGAGCGAGTTTGCCACTCTATACGGTACAAAAGGTGTCAAATTCTTATGCTATATTGCAAACAATCCGTTTAAAGGATGCTGAAAATGTGGTGAAAATCAATCGTTTTTATCATGTTCTAAAAATAAAATTTGAATAATTGATAAATTTAATCGACCGGTTAATCAAAACAATGTCCTAATGTTGAATGAGCAGACGATACAGGTAAAAGCATTACTAGCTTATCACAATACACACGTTATACCTAAAGATATATTATCAACATCTTTCACATAAATTCAGTAAATGA